ATATGAATAAAATAGAAAAATTCGTATATCTGAGAAACAATTAGAGCTAGAATCATTAAATTTTACTTGAAGAACTTTGACATTCACCTGAACATTTAGAATATAACGGGCGGACTTCCAATGGGTTACTTGGTACCTCCCATATGAATTAAATACAAAATTTCGTTTAACTTGGAAACTAATAGAACTAGATTCTTCAAATTTTGAACAAATTATTTTAATAATCATCTGAATATTTTGGAGGAAAAAGGGCGGACTTTCATCCGGGGGGCTTGAAGCCCCCACATGAATTAAATTCGTATATCTGAGAAACTATTAGAGCTAGAATCTTAAAATTTTACATGAAGAACTTTGACATTCATGTGAACATTTAGAGAATAACGGGCGGACTTTCAATGGGGGGCTTGGCACCACATATATGAATTAAATACAAAATTTCGTGCATCTTGGAAACTCTTATATTATTCAAATTTTTTGTAGATAGATAGAAATTGGCGATAGATAGAAACTGGCGAACTTGCAATAATTTGCTTGACATCTTTTATATGTAACATATAATAAATCTGGTATTTATTTATACATATTCCTTTTAGGGTAGCAAAGCACACTGGGTATAGCTAGTCTTTAAATAAATTGCATAGTGAAGTAACATTTTGCTATGAAGGTAAATCAGTTTAAAAGCTTGACGCCTAATTATTGGAGCAGTTTGGCCCATAATTGATTGTAATCCTATAAAAAGTCCCAATCTAGAGATTACCCAAATGCTCACAAACCTCACTTGTTGCACTCTACTGTTGCAACTGTAACTGACTAACTGTAAACGCCTAGGTTTGATTTGGTCCTGCGAGTTCCAATCTATATAATGGAGCCTGTGATTAGGTATGCTTAGCAAAATACCTCATCAGCGCTGCATTATCATGTCTGGCGTAGGTATAAATGTGATAAAATTGTGTTTAACAATCTACAAAAATTAAATAAATCTAAAGCCTAGACAATAAGTTTAATGAAAATTTTGACATTTAAAATTGCCAAAGCAATTATCTAATTATCTGTGGACACATGCAAAATAAATTGAAATTGAGCGGGAAACAAAATTCTATAAAAATACAAACAAATCGACTATAGAAGAAAATTACATTACGTCTGTTTTACGAAACTGAAGGTTGATCAAACAATAAATAATACAATAAACGTGAATAGAGAAATCGTTTTTGTTTATACAATATTACCAGGAATTAAGCAAAGAAGAAAAATAATAAAAACCACGACCACTGAAACCACCTCATTCTGAATAATGATGCAGTTTTGTTTTCTTTTTTTCAAATTTCATTATTAATTTTGTCTAGTATTTCATAAATAATACACCATCTCCTAGTTATATGTGGATGTTATGCATATGACAGTCGCAGCTAAATATTTACTTACCCGGTAAGTAGGCAAGTAATATTGGAGCAAATAGTAAGTACTTACTTTTTGGAAGAATAACTACTTTTTTGTTCCACGATTGTTGACAAATAACTGGTTACAAATATGCTTACCTGTCATACTCCATTAAAAAGATATTTTATCATGCTATTTGAAATGGTTTTTACACAAATGTAAAAATCAATATTTCTTCACAAAACATCTAATATCGACTACTAGGTTAGGTTAGGTTATCACAGGTAGCCGATTTCGGCTTTACTTGGGTCCATGTTGATCCCAGTAGCAGAGAGACAGAGACAGTAGCAAAGAGAAAGAGAGGATGAGAGGAAGATTGTTGAGAATGTCCAGACCAGCTGCCATGGATGAATACATGTAACATTCTGACAAATTTATGAACGCCAGTAAACGTTCCAATTGAATATTTGACAATTCGGATAGATCGCCAAAATAGGCCGATCCAAGCGTCCGAAATCGGTCTCCGCCAAAGCAGGACAATCGCAGAGAAGATGAGTAATAGTCTCTTCTTCATCCTAATTTTAATAACTCCTACAGTAATCGTTAAACGGGAGACCAATGCGTCTAGCATGGTTACCAAATTGACAGTGGCCAGTGATAATCGATATCAGCCTACTGAGCTGCTGTCTTTGGAGACCAAGAAGATATTTAGACCTGTGTGGATCCATTTGAGACCACAGCGCTCTAGATGTTGAGCACGTGTGTTCACGCGACCATTTGTCGCGAGCTATGGAGAGGCAGTTTTCAGTGATCTACCTCACTGTGGAATACCGCAAAACTAATCTATTTCCAGTCTGCTAAGCATGGTGCCAGCTCTTGCCAAGGTGTCAGCAATGCTTTTGCCATACGAAATCCCGTGTCCCTTTACCCAAATTAGGGTGATATTCGAATGTCTCGCCATCTCATTGAGAGACGTCCGGCATTCATCGACAATTCTGGATGTGGAAAACACATTTAAATAGATTCTTGAGACTCCGAAGAGATATAATATCGGAACTTTCTCATTAGAGACGGTACCAGAATACAATATTATCTTAGCATGGCCTATGGAGCAGTGTTTCCACTTGCCAGTTATACTCAATCTGGCCGCAGTTGTCATAACCAATTGCCTAGCCATTTCAAGCGCCTGCCACCAGACAACTACCCCATATAACATAATAGGTTTAATAACTGCATCAAAGAGCCACGAATGTCGAGAGTTTAATGTGAACGCCTGCCATGACGACCTAATTTCACGGTGGTCTTTTTCATCCACTGGGTAGACTAGAGACGGTCTACCACGCGCCCCTGAATCTTTCAATGAAGAACTCAGGTATCAATTTTTGTACATGGCTGAGCCGGTCCATGTACGAGCACTTTGTTGAAGAACTCGAGCTATCTAATCTCTTGCCATAGTAGCCCCGTTGCCGAATGACAGGCAGCATGGGATCAATTCCAATGCATACCCCGACAAGGAAAAAACAATCACTGGTCTAAAGTCAATAGAAGGGGGTGACTAGTCCCAACATCAGGGACTAGTCACCCCCTCATCTTCCGGTAAACCGGAAGGTAACCACCCTTATAATGTCATGAGAGATTGCATTATTCAAAATGCAATCCCCATCATCTAATGACCCATTCCAGTGCATTCCTTAACCTCTTTAAGCCCGCACAACCACACTACTGAGATGGCTCTGTTGTTTTAGCAACAGCACCAGGAGACATATTTGGTAGTTTGAAATTTGTTGGGTATTTGGATCAGGATCCCTCTTTTATGAACCGATCAATGTGACAAAGGAAATAGGAATTTCCAAAGTCAATTAATTCCAATAATTGCCCCGACAATTAGTCGCGTAGCATGTATCAATATATCCTGTTGAGATGGCTACAGCACAGAAGAACTTCCCCGAAGCGTAGAAAGGCATACAAAATCAGTACTAATCTCCAATGTATGGAGACTTTCCCGATATTTCACCAATTTTCGCATCAGTTCCATTCCCACGAATGGAACTGAACTGGAATGGCAACCATTGAATACTAACCTGACAATTCTCCAGCATATACCGTCGTCCCACTACGCGACCGGTAAGAAATACCGATCGGGCTTAGGAATCCAGCATATGCTGCTTTGTACACAGACCTGTTCGAAGAGAGAATTATCCAACCCATTTGGTATAGGATATATCAGTCCTTAAACCAACATTCTGCTTTGTACACAGACCTGTTCGAAGAGAGAATTATCCAACCCATTAGGTATAGGATATATCAGTCCTTAAACCAACATTCTCTCCCCGCGATTTTGGGTATTAAACCTCAGCCACTACGTGGATTCCGAAGAAACCTCAACCAATTGACCGGTCAGGACTAGGTCCTGTGGGCAACCCGTAGTGCCAGAATATATGGTGCTCTGGTTAGACCCCATGCCAAATCATTCCAAGGCGAAGCCGAGAATACATTTGACATCACCAGTTTATAGTCCCGGCAGACTAGAGGTACTGGTAGGACCTCTTTACCCCGGGATTGCAATATACCAAGATGGACATTTCATCAAGGAAACATGCCCCGGGTGGCATCAAAGATCTTTGATTTATGCCCAGCATGTCCCTATGTTCAAACTAACTAATTCCTAATTAGACACACGCTCTAGACAACTGGCTACAAATCCTACACAAAAAATTTAACTAATATTGTTGATAACGACCAATCATTACCAAGTAATATATGAAATAACTACATTATTACATTACAATTTGAATATATTTTACTGGGGAGTTCTAGTAATTGAAGGTTGTTGCGAAATTTGTGAATAATGTTTTCCCTTTTTATATTTATTTGGGTTTTTAAGAACAAACACTTTTATTTTAAGATTCCAATTTTGAAAAAGTCATAAATTTTGAAATTCTATTAAGTTTGCAAGATTTAGAAATTGTGTAAAACAATAAATACAAATAACTTAAGATAATCACAATTGTTTACAATTTAAATTTCAGCTAATAGTCGTAAAAATAAGCAAAATTCACAGAGATAGGAAAATTTCGAAAAAAATTTAAATAAATTAACATCGATGGCAAATATATTTGAAGGAAAAAAAAAACGTTTTTCTATAAACTTTATACCAGAGTCAATATACAAATATTCAAACACGGATGGGTATACGAAAATTTATACTTAAACAACGTCTATAGAAAACTATTTAGATACATTTAAGAGATAGATATCTACTACTTATAATACTAATTTTCAATTGTTTGTTGTTGTTGTTAAAATTTAAAGATAAAATCACATAAATTCCCACAAGTATTAAAAAAATAATTTAACAAAATTCCTAATACGAGCAGATACAACATGTATTTTGTATACAAAATTGAAAAAAGAAAAAAAATGTGTTAATATTGTAGATCAAAAGAATGATCATGATGATCGCGATGACGAGCAGACAGACAATAGCAACAACAAACACAAATATGTTTAACATAAATATTTGCACTGATATTTTGTTCGTTACGTAGTAGTGTAGTTGTATTGAACGTGATTGTAATGTTGCTCAACATGTTGTCAACAGTGCAAATAATAAAAGTGTGAGTGTGTGATCGTTATATGTACATATGTTGCGATACATTTACTTCGGCTGCAGCACCTTGTACTAGGGCCGATCGTCTAGTCTAGACCATACTACAGCTGTATGATTAAACGCTTCTAGTTCTCTTGTTAACCAAAAAACATTTTGTAAATCAGAAGCGAACGGGTCCTCAGGTAGTTAGCGGGAACTTAGAAATTAAGTAAAAAAAAAAAAAACTACTCTCTAATATAAATATTAAAGAAAATATATATATATATGGAAACCTTAAGAATAAAAGAACAAGTTATATGACAAAGTATAAATATAAAAAAATATTTTTAATATAAAATAATAAATAATCCTGTGACATTAACCAATACTTAAAGAAGAAGAAATAATAAAAAATAAAATTTTGAAATGGAATATTAAATCCACAAAGTGTTACTTTTGCTCTAAAAAGTTTTTATACAAAAAAACACTTTTTATTAAAATAAATATTGCTAAAGTTATATTTATAAAAAAAAACTTCAATAATTTTCTATTTATTTTAGATAAATTGTGTTAAATTAAAATTCCAAAAAATAAATTAAATTTAAACAATGGCCTACTCTTGGGATAACCGTGTCGATTTTGTTGTTCGGTATATGTACGGTAAGTTAAAAATCAGACTTCTCAAATACCCATTCCAAACGATAAATTAAGAAATAATAACAGTTAATAACTCTTTATAATTAAAAACTGTTTAAGCAGGTGGTTTCGATTTTGAAAATGAAAGTGATAAACATTGGACTTATATGGAAAAAATATCATTTAATTAACATATAATAGTGGAAAAGTTTGAAAAGCAAGAAATCTTTAAAAGTTAATAATGAAAGTGAACAAGTCCTTTGGCTTAATAAATAATATAATTTTGAAATATCTTTATTTCTAAGGAAATATACCATAATTTATAAAATTAAAAAGAAAAAATTTAAATAAATTTAAAATATTATTTAGCTCACTATGCCAATGCAATAAAATTTTAAAAAATTTTTATCTCAAATAAACTTCAAGGTCCGTTGGCAACTTTGTAATTGCGCGCGTCTTGCTATTTTTAGATTATTGCTAAACTGACACCTGGTTTTAAGGGATTTTTCAAAATTTTATTATATATTAACAACTATACGAATGATATAATTAAATAATACTATATTATTTTTTATAAAATAGATACTATATAAAATAAATTGTTGAAATTTTTTCGAAAAGTTTTAAAATTAGAAAACAACAAAATTTTTAAATAGTTTTGTTATAAATTGAATAGTTTTGATTTAAATTTAAATTAATTATTTTCAAAAAAAAATTGTATGAGTAAGAACCAACTACAGATATCCCCAGTCTAGATGGAATGGAAAATGACATAGGTCATCAAAAATATGATAGGTCACCATTTTGGATAATAATTGTAAGCGAATGTATTGTGATATTTAAGAATTCGGGAAGATACATACGTTCAATTCCAGATCAAGACCAGATTAGTATTTATTCAATACTATAATCAAGTCCTAAGACTGGACTTTTATCTAGCTTATAGTACAGATTACTTTAGTCATGTATATACTCCGTATTAGATTATTGGAGAACATGACCCATTTAGATAATCGCAAAACTACTCACCTGCAAACATTATAGGTTTAGTAGTCCTATGTAATGTAGGCATGGATCGTGTTCACTGTTCTTGAAATAACGTGGTTATAGTCCAGTCCGATTCCAGTCCACAGTCAAGACATATCTAGAGACTAGTCTGTAGTTTGTCCTATAGATTATATTCGAACATATTTTCTAATCTTTTATAGTTTTTAGACTAGAATTCCGTTCGGACTAGACTTTAAAAGTAAAAGTTTAGAATATAGTCTAACCTATTTCTGACTATAGTGTATTCTAATTTATAGTCCTGTCTATAGACTAGTCTACAGACAAGACGCCGGTGAATTAGAAAACTGGTCCAATTGTGAAAATTTCTAAAACAGATGACCAAAAACACAGCTTCAACTAGATAGGAACAGCTTTAACACTAGAACTGTATCCAAATTTTTAATAAAATTATCTTTAACCCTACAATACCTTACCAGATCGACTTGATCAACACAAGTACAACATGTAAGTTATAAATTCTGAAAAACAAGTGAGCCATTCCTAATCACCTTTGCTCTCATAATGACTTTGAACGAAATGTAATCTCTAGAGGAATACAATAGAAATTTATCCAACAATTAGAAGAATTCGACTACACAGAAGAAAATTTTGAAGACCTTTCCGCAAGAGCGTACGAATAAGATCAAATTTTATACTTAACTCATTGGTGACACAAGCGAGGATGTTGATTTCTGTATACAAAGAGCTAGATCACTTTGGAAATCATGCGCTCTATCCCTTAAACTTTGAAATTAGTTACAAAACACTGGAATGTTAATGACACTTTGACAACACTATTGCAATTTTTCAACGTGTATTAATATGCAGTATTGTTCGAAACTTGGGCAACTTTCAATACTTCATATGCTTTGACATTGTACATATGTAAGTTTGGAACAGATTTCTTTTTATTGTGATTTTTCCACTTGGATTTTATAACATATATCAGCTCTTGCATATTTTTAAAATTACAAGTTTCGATTGTATACTTCTAAAAACCGCACCAAAACAACTGCCCATATTTTGTGTTCATGAACGTATCATACCAATATCGGATATCCTATTCTATAGTGAAGCGAATACTAGTGAATGCATTGTGTATCGATCGATGCAAATGGTAATGAGGTGAAAGTTGTGGACTATAAGGCGGATCTGGCCCAGAGTTGTCATGTTGGAATATTACGGCTTCATATGTGAGCGAAACTGAATCGATTGTCTGGTCCGTTTACAGCAGTTCTAAAATAAAAAGTATTACATTGGAAAAATTGATATTCTGCATCGGCCCTGATTTCAACTGAAATTCAATTGATCATTTCTGAAATATAAATAAAGTATTGGAGTGACTTTTACTAATATCCTATCAAACACTTCCCCATATGATGGATAGAGGGAGGTGATGGACAATATGTCATCTCTCACCAATGGTTTTACTTCGGATGATGGAGGGCTGAGTGCATAACAATTATAGGAGAACTAAACTGTCAATACCACACAGAGAATAGAACCAACAAAGACTATCGCTGTTGGGCGCAATGGAGAACCATAGACCAACTATGACACACTAGCTTTATAAAAGCATAATTGGACCAATTCTATCTTCGTACAAAAAGTGGAACATACTACCAACACAGAGAATTAAGGGTACATGTTGTTCGGTGTAAGCGGAGCCCTGAGCACACTAACAACCAAAGCTTTAGACACATTTATCCGATTGAAACGCATATAAGATACGATTGGGCACTCACAGCCTAGTAGCACGCAGATTTAGGAAAATTTGCTCGAGACGCTTACAGAACACATCTTATATATATGCTAAACTTATTGGACTGTTATACACAAATACCAAACGTATTCGATTGTGTACCGAAAACAGAAATTGTTGGGAACTGTGAAACATTGGTCCCAGGTAAGGATAGGACAATGCAGGAATTTGTTGTTCAAAATGGGAGACAAAAAGGGGATCTATATTGAAATTCTTGAATCCGAAATATACTGCCATCATCCTAATCACAACACTAACTTCCAGGCGGATGTTCGTGCTATCACGGATTATGTATGGCGTAATCAAGTTTAGGTTAAAGCTAAGAGCGCATTGGACTGTAAAAGAACTTTGCAGGCCACTCGGGAATAATCGGCAATAAAAAGACAAATGTACTTGCTATAAAGGGAAGGGAGTTTCAGGAAGTAAATCTGATTATGATGATGCAAAAGCGTTCGATGCAAACGAATTAGAAAAATGAGGGAAAGAATGCCATACCACCACCTGGAATAATATAATGATGGGTAGAACCACTAAAATCTTATGGGAGATCAGAACGAGAAGCATGCTCAGATTGAATAGGTCCGAGGTTAGTGTGATGAATGTAATAGCGGACATAACTATATGAAATTGGACAGATTCAGACGAATGTAAAGTATGCGGAGAGGACAGTGAAATGCTGCAACACTTTCCTTGTGATAGCTAGATTTTCGACGAAAGTAAGATCCTAATCTATTGGTAGAGATATAAATAAAAACACAAAAAAACATGAACCAACTTTTCTTAATCTGTACCCCTAGTAATGATAATGAAAATTGCATAAAATTCTTTTCATTTATTACAATATTATTTAATTTTTAATTTATAATATATAATTCATAACAAGTACCATTTATCCAATGACAAGTACAATTAAACATGACGAGTATAATGAGATTGAAATTATTTTAACATGTTGTTAACATGAACGAAAATTTTTTTAATTATAGCAATATTAATGTACTTGTTTTTAACATTACTCACACACAAAAACAACAAAATATATATACATATGTACATCTAATTTACGAGAATTTAATATAAACTATAGAACAACTATTAGGCAGAGATAAGTTATGCAGAGATTCCTAAAGGTTTTCGATTTAAACATTTGATTTTTTGCGAGATATTAAAAGAGAAGCCTAATAATAATTAATTTTGAAACTCATTATAACAAATATTCTGAATAAAATTTGTTCTACCTGAATAGTGATGACTGATTGATTCGTCTTCCCATAGCCTAAACGGTTGCAGCTAAATAGTAGTTGAAATTTTGAAAGGAGATTTTCTTCGCCCCAAATGGGTGCACTAAGATTTGGTAATTCGAATGTAGGGTATATTCTGAAATCTTATATCTCTTAAACTAAAAGAGGTACAAAAAATTAACACTCATCATTATCCTCATGGTTTCTTTTAATAATATTAAAATAGAAACATAATTATCCAATTCACAATCGGTTGTATTATGAAAGTCAATTCGAACCCAATAATTGCCCCGACAAGTTGAGTGGTGGGCCTCAAACATAAGTCGCGTAGCATAAAGCAATATGCATCCTGTTGAGAGGGCAACAACACCGAGAACTTCCCTAAAGTAAAAGATCTTTAAGATCAGTACTAGTCTCCTGACAGGCAGAGGAGTATTTAACGATCGTTCACCAACTTACATCAGTTCCATTCTCAGACCATAAAGAACAATCTGCGGAATGACAGGCAACTACCAAGTGTCAACCTAAAAATTTCCCAATCTATACTGGCGCCCTACTACGCGAAGGGTAAGAAATACATCACCCAGTGACATCTGTTGATGTCGGAGAGAGAATCCAGATATATATGGCATAGAATATATCAGTCCTTAAACCAACATTCTCTTCCAGCGAATTTCGCTATAAACCACAGACATTACGTGAATCCCGAAGGAAAGTCAACCATCTGACCAGCCAGGACAAAGTACTGTGGGCAACTGGCTACCCGTAGTACCAGAATATCTGGTGTTCTGGTTCGACCCCATGTCAAATCATTCCAAGGAAAGGCCGAATATACATTTGATCATCACCACTTTATAGTCCCGGTAGACTAGATATTACAATAACACCAAGATGGAGATTTCACCAAGGCAACATGCCTCCAAGATGGAGATTTCACCAAGCCAACATATTTTCGGGAGGGGATGAATAAAGTA